GCAGCGAATGAGGGTAGATTATCAAGCCTTAGGGTTAACAAACCCAAGATCTGTTACCTCAAGTTATACTAACCATGGGCTTACGTTGAAGTGTAGACATACCCTCTGCAACCTGCATTTTTTTCTGGGACCTCAGCCACTACCAAAACCCTCCCAAATAGTTCACTTTATTTTCTCCTAAAATGCTGAAAAAACAGAACCTCTTAGCACAGGGGTGGCCAACCTGTGGCTCCGGAGCCACATGCGGCTCTTCAGAAGTTAATATGTGGCTCCTTGTCTAGGCACCGACACCGGGTCTGGAGCTACAGGCACCAACTTTCCAATCTGCTGGGGGGTGCTCACTGCTCAACCCCTGGCCCTGCCCCAGGCTCTGCTCCCATTCCACCCCTTCCCATGCCCTCCCCTGAGCCTGCTGTGCCCTCTCTCCCCCCCCCAGAGCCTCCTGCAGGTCAGGAAACAGCTGATCGGGAGGTGTGGGGAGGGAGGGGAAGGTGCTGATTGGTGGGGCTGCCAGTGGGCAGGAGGTGCTGGAGCAGGGGGGAGCGCTAATGGGGGGCTGCTGACGTATTACTGTGGCACTTTGGCAATGTACATTGGCAAATTCTGGCTCCTGCTCAGGCTCAGGTTGGCCACCCTTGTTTTCGCACATACACAGCATGTGAGAACACAGGATCCTTGCTGCACTACGTGGGACCCTGATATATCCTACAAAATTTCTGAGAAGCTACTCATTTGCAGAGCCCAACATACAAAATTCCTGAAACATAGGCACACTCACCACTTTTTAGCTCAATCTTTACTCCTGGGTGGACCTCCTATACAGAGTTTTGAAACGAAGCAGCACAGTACTATAGTGAAACGCTGCATAAGTATAGTTACAATTAACACATGCCCTCACTTGCTATTTCAGCCTCACCACACTATATGAATTAAAGAAACTAGCACATTACCCATGACTTCTAAGATTTTCCTTAAAGGATTTTTGAATCAGACACACCCAAATTTCAGCTCCATACAATATTACAGAAGAAACTTTTGCATTAAACACACACAATAGAACAAAAGAATGATCTTATTCCAACCCTATAAGTAACTAACGCCATCTTGCAAATCCCAGAGGGCTTAAGAGAACACCAAAAAAACAATGCCTCCCACTTACCATCTTGGCAGAATGCAGTCCTAAAGTATTTTTATGCAACCCAAGTATTAATTGGTTCAAAGCAACTGTCTAGTGGCTAGAACAAACAAGGAAATTTAAAAACAAGAATAAGAACTTTTGTCTTTGATAAATGATTTGAAGAGCCCAATTTAAAAGGTATCGGGGAAAGTGTTAACAGCCTCCAAATGCCAAAAGGAGTCTGAGATACAAGGATAAAGTCTTTTGAGCAATCAGATGGGAGAGTGAAGATATCCTTTGTGGCACTGATATGAACTTTAAAAAAGAAAGGCTCCCCCACACCCTGACCCCTTTGCTACAGGAAAAGGATTAGTCAAGCTGCCAGCACAGCCACATCTAACCTAAAAAACCTTGCTACAGGGCAAAGCTTTGACTACAGTCACTAAACTAAATTTTCCACAGCTGCATGAATTCCATACAATAGAAGTTTGTGACTCAGTCCTGGGCAGATTTTAGATCTATAAAATAAAGTTTCCTGTGCTTAATAGGTTATGCAAAACAATACAGTGGTAAACCTCAGCAAGGTCAAAAGCCTAACTAGTGGCCCTACTGTTTCTGGAGGGAAATCAATGAACAATTGCATTGAGAGCTGCCTATGACACCCAGTTCTATCCAGGAATTTGATCTGCGCAGGGGAGATTTCAGAGGGCACACAGCACAACTGTGGTTTTCCCATTTTATCACTAGTATGAGTATTTTGAACCTAAAATTTCCTATCCCTGAGTCAGTCGAGCCAAATGTTCTCAAGTCCGCCTTTTTGAAAACACGCCCACAAATGCAAAGAGTGAAGAATCTGTTGTGAAAAGTCTGTGTTTCTTCCTAAATGGATATAAAACCTAGTTAAGCAAATTTTATCTCCTTTACATTTAAAAAGCTTGTACAAGATTTTTTAACTTTGTTTCCTCTTGCACTCAAATCGGAGTTGAGTTGATTTGGTTGGATTTAACCAGGTAGCAATGAGATCAGCCTACGTTTCATATAAATGGCTTCAAAATGACTGACCAAAATCTACAACACCAGAAGCCAAAAGATTATTGTTTAACAACTGAATTTGAGCCTTTGCTAGTTTGTTAATAGAATGAGTCAACTGTGAAATACACTAATTCTTCCCCTAAAAAGAGCAAGGGGGGGGAGGGAAGGGAAATCAAACTGAACCCAGATGTAGTACAAGATGGATGCAATAGAAAAATCTTAACAGAATAAAGTGAAATAGACCAAGGCAATACTGTTTGTTTTATATCCTCTCTGATTATACTAGAGAGGAGAAAGAGACCATGACCTGGTCTATCAAACACCTTCTGTATGAAAAATTTAACTCAGTTGTTAGGATTAATCAATATTCCCCATTTCTAGCTGGAAAACTGGTCTCCCTGGAACATCCTTTATTGATAGTCCCTGGGGAGGGATAAAACCCATTTTGGATGAGAATTACAAAAGAAGATGGCCCAACTGGATCCTATGCTTACTTAACATTTCCCTCAGAAGGAACTATCAGAGCCCCACAAAGGGATAAAAGACGTCTCCAGAAGCAGTGTCCTGATCAGAACCCAAACAAGCACTGAAGTTACAATCTATAAATCAATCAGTTGGGCAAACAGTCCATGAGGTAGAAATTCTCTCCTACAGATGATCCCAAAGGGAGTTTGTCTCAGGAAGCAGATACAAGTTTACTGACATCCAGGGAACCTTATCTTGTCTGAGGACCCTAACCAACAAACAGAAGCCATAAAGAGAGAGTAGACAGGGCAATTCAGAAGGAACTGAAGTAATGTAGTATATAATCCTAAAGCAAATCTACACAACTATTAATACCATGCTTTGCATTAAAAAAACACCACATGACAAGGATAACCAGAAAATACATCTGATGAAGTGAGCTGTAGCTCACGAAAGCTCATGCTCAAATAAATTGGTTAGTCTCTAAGGTGCCACAAGTACTCCTTTTCTTTTTGCGAATACAGACTAACACGGCTGTTCCTCTGAAACCAGAATACCTGAAAGCAGGGTCACTTGACACCAGAAAGGAATGATTTAACAGTCTGGCCCACAAACGCACAACATTCAAGGACAGAACAGGAAGGCACAAATATACATTAGGTGGTCTGGCTGTTACTGAACTGGATTGATTACCTTCATCTCTCTCAGATAATTGTAGGTTGTGTGAGATCATATGCATTGACAAGGGCAACTCTTAAATTAGCAGGACCTAAGATGGAGCTTGAGTAAGACCATCATCTCTTCAAGACCTCTGTTCTGGTGACAATTTCCTCACCTTTTGACAATGCAGAAAAAGGACACTGGACTGGTAGGGTTAAAACTCATTAGCCTTAGGATAAAACAGAAGGGCAGAAATCCACAAGGGAAGGAAGAGAGCATAGGGTGGGAGTGGTATAAAAAAGGATGAAGGGATAGTCATGAACATAATGTCACATGTTTGCCAATGGACTCTGCCACTGCCTGGAGTCCTAATCAAGAGGAAATGCTGAAGACACCATTTTACTCAGCTTTTTCACAAAAGCACAGATGAAAAGTCCAGATCTTCACACCTAAATATAACTGAATCAGCTTCCTAAGATAGAGACTTTCGGCAGCCAAATCATTCCCCACAAGAGAGTAAGAGACACCCCACGCTTACATACCATGGGAGAAGAGAAAAAATTAGAAGAGACTCTGCTAGATCTATGTGCCATCTCAGAGATATGACAGATGAATGAGAAACCTCATCAACAGACTCTCACTGGTATAATGTGAATTAAGTAAAGCCAAGGGCTCAACAGAAATTTGACTAAAAGCCAACACAGGAAAAAATACAGGATGTATCAGTTTCCTTACTAGCCAAAACAGAAGATGCCTTATCAGAAACTTTGGGTGGAGACTTATTATACAGACTCAGATTTTAAGCCCATAAATAATTACTATGAAACTTAGTCTTACCTCCCCCATAACAGACCACAGAATTTCACCCAGTATATCCAGCAACGGAAGAAGTTAGTCTTCCTTGCTATGTAAGTAGACATCTGAAGTGAAGTCCAGCATGCAGAGCCACATATGTGCACAAGGTCACGTGCCCCAGTAGTTGTAGGCAGAAGCTAGCTGTTGTCCATAGGTTGGATTTAAGGCTTCCAGACAGGCACTATGGACTGAAACTTGCCCATTCAAAGGTAAGCCATGGAGGCTGGAGCATCAAGCACTGCTCTTATAATAATTATTCATTGTGTTGATTGTAATGTTGATTTGCTTACATTCAGTTTCTTGCCTACACAAGAAAATAACAATCTCATGACAATGATGTGGTTTTGGACAAGAGTGACTGATCTTCTCCAAACCAGACAATCATCCAGGTATGGAAATATCTGGACACATAATTCTAAAAAAGAGACAACTTCCCGAAGCAATACACAGTCCTGTGAGATAGGTCCATGGTAAGGGATAGGAGGGAGCTGAACTGGATGACATGTCCCTCCTTTACAGTGCTGGGCACTTTCCATAGGGAGGGAGGTGAGATATGTTGTCCTTGATCAAACAGTCAAAACAGCTGCTTGAAGGCTGAAGTAGTTTGATGAGAAGGGCCCACTGGGGATGATGCTGACTGGCAACGTCTAGGAGACTTAGGCCTTCTTTTAAAGGTGTCCTGAGACCTCTGCTGATATAAAGCTCTGTAGTATAACTGAGGTTTAAAAGATTTCCTCTTTGTTACTGTGGTTTAAACCCCCACTAAATGAAGGGTGGCATTGGAATCTTTGAAGGTGTGCGTGGAGTCACCTGTTGTCTGGGAAAACAGTCTGAAACCCTTGAAGGGTAAATCTTCTATTGTATTTTGCAGCTCCCTCAGGACACAAGAGGCCACAGCCAAGAGGAGCCTTCAATTAAGATGGCTGCAGCCATGGAGCACGAGGCAGTATCTGCAGGGTCGGTGGCCACTTGAAGTGATGAACAGCTAGCAAAGTGTCCCTCAGAAACTATGGCCAAGAGCTGTCCTCAGTACTCCGCCGGCACTCTGTCTGCAAATTTGGAGACTGCTGACCAATTAGTAAAGGTGTATTTAAAACAACAGTGCCTGGCAATTTGACACTCTTCTGAAGACTGGCTGTGGTGCAGGTCTTCCTGCCATTTAAGTCCAGCCTTTTAAAATCCCCGTCTTTAGAGTGGCCTGGAGTGAGACAGCCTGGAATGCTCGTTAGCAGCCATGACCATGAGAGAGTCTAATCAGGTGGGCAAAGAAATAACTGAAGTTTTGCTGAGGAACATGCTAGCCTCCATCCACCTGTTTGGCAGTGGGTGGGACAGAAGCTGACATTTGCTGGAGGGTTTTGGCCAATTCCAGCAAGGCTGGAAAGGGTGACCCTTCCCAGGGCAGGGCTCTGTAAGATATCTAGCTACCTGTGCCAGTTATCTTTTGCAAGCTCTGCCCATGCTCCCAGAGATGTGGCCACCCTTCTCATAAGATCCTAGAACACTTTAAAATCCTCCAGAAGCGAAATAGATGTTGACTTCTGGGTGACAGCCTCTTCTGGAGAAGATGAAATATTTGGTGGGGGAGCGGGGAGAGAACATCTACAGGTTCCTCCAGTATTGCCCTGTCTTTTGTAGGCTCCAACAAGGGAGGAGGCTGAGGGACTGTAGAAGGGGCTTCCCTAGAGGTCCCTGCTATGGGTGAAGGTGACCTCCTTTTAGACTCTGGTGGAGGTCTAGACCTTACTGGAGTAGTCCAAGATGCCCAGTATGGCTATTCCCTTGGGGGCATTCTACACTTCATACTGCCCCGCAACGTGGTGGGTGCCACACCAGGGCCTTGTAAGAGAGTCAATCATAACTTTTAGATTTGTTATCCCTGGAGAGAGGTCTGCAATGTGACCTAGGAGACCTCAGAGAAAAAACTGGCTTCTTGTGGCCCAAGTCCGAAGAGAAGATGTAACTCCCCTCAGTAAACAGAGGAGATGTTCATGGAGCTCTTGGTGCTTCTCTCTCAATTTTAGACTCAAAGCTGTGCACGTTTTATAGATGGAGAGTCCGTCCTCTTGTTGTCAGGGTCCAGCTCCGAAGAAGACTTCTCTTTCTTTGGTGTGGTATGGAAGGAGGTACAAACTGAATGTCTCCCCCACCTAGACAAATTAAGCAGATTTTGTACCTACCTGTGACAGGGATCATGGTCCTGCAAGTGGCACATTGCTTAAACCCTGGGTATTTTTTCCATGTTAATGAGTTCCTGAAACAATATCTAACTATCCTAAACCATACTATACTAAATTTAACTAGAACTATATAAAGCAAGAAGAACTCTTTAGAGAGGCTAGTGAACCAAAGCTAAATAGCTACAGGGAGCTCCAACTCTCACCATACGTAATAAGAAGGAACTGAGAGAGAAGTGGCAACAATGCCCCTTGTATGTCTTCAGCTCAGCTCAACACAGGAGGAGAGTCTGGGCATCTACGCCATTTTGTGGTACTGCAGGTAAAATCGCCAACTCAAGTGCATTGAGTGTATACCTACAGTTGAATGTGTATGTCCACAATCACTTGAAGAATAACCAAGAGTTGTTGCCTGCCTGTAGACCTATTAAATCTGAAAGCCTAACTGAGAGCTGTCGGTTCTCTTAACATTAGCCTCATTGCAGACAATTTTCGGAAGGTTGGTAGGAATTTAAGACAGGGACAAGACATTTACTAACACAGGTTTGCTTAAAGTTAATTCCACTTTTATCATTCCTACTCCCCTAAAAACTATACATATAATCAGTTACTCAAGGGAGAACTTTCAATCCACTAGCAAAGATAAAAATGAAGAGAGATTGGATTTTCAAGAGAAAAATAATTAGGCAAACGGAGCAAAAGTGAATCAGATATTCAGCCTATTACGTAGAGATTAAAAGGTGATGAAGTATTTCACTGGATTAGGCACAGTGATATAAATGAAAGAATAAACTAAACTGCAGAAAGTTAAGCAACTAGTTCACAAAAAGGAAAACTCAAGCTAAACTAGTTAGGAGAGTTACTGGACTGGTAAGCTGGTAAATAAAGCGTTAGAAACTTATACAGTTAATTGGGCATGAGCAGTCAGTCAAGAATTGATAATTACCAGATGCAGCTCAGAAATCAGATTATGAAGCAGGATGGAGTGATGTCAAACAGCAGAGATGGAAAAATACTGCAAACGCGTGCCCGTCTTTCCCCTGGAGAGTGCAGCTGGGGAGCGGAGCTGCCTCCCTGCTTTATAGCAGGGAGCAGAAAGAAGATGGCAGCTTCAAGCCATGGAGAAAGGCCACAAAGATTCCTACTGGTGTCCTCCTTTCCCCTGGAGAGTGAAGCTCTAGTAAATAGCCATTATATGTCTTAGGATTATGCATTACTAGGACCCTACCAAATTTACAGCCATGAAAAACGCGTCACGGGGACCATGCAATCTGGTCTCCCACCATGAAATCTGGTCTTTTGTGTGCTTTTACCCTATACTATACAGATTTCACAGGGGAGACCAGTGTATCTCAAATTGGGGGTCCTGACCCAAAAGGGAGTTGCGGGGGGCATCGGGGGGTCACAAGGCTATTTTAGGAGAATTGCAGTATTGCCACCCTTACTTCTACGCTGACTTCAGAGCTGGGCGGCCAGAGAATGGTGCCTGCAGACCGGGAGCCCAGCTCTGAAGGCACAGCCACGGCCAGCAGCGGCGCAGAAGTAAGGATGGCATGGTGTGATATTGCCACCCTTACTTCTGCACTGCTGCCTTCAGAACTAGGTGGCCAGACTGTGGTAGCTGCTGACTGAGGGCCCAGCTCTGCAGGCAGCAGCGCAGAAGTAAGGGTGGCAATACCATACCATACCATCCTTACTGCAGACTGCTGCTGGTGGTGGCTCTGCCTTCAGAGCCGGACTCCCAGCCTGCAGCTGCCGCTCTCCAGCTGCCCAGCTCTGGAGGCAGCAACGCCGCCAGCTGCAATGCAGACGTAAGGGAAGCAGTCCCGCACCCCCCCATAATAACCTTGTGACACCCTCCCCCCAGCTTCTTTTTGCGTCAGGACCCCCTACAATTACAACACCAAGAAATTTCAGATTTAAATAGCTGAAATCATGAAATTTATGATTTTTTGACTCCTATGACCGTGAAATTGACCAAAATGGACCATGAATTTGGTAGGGCCCTATGCGTTACCATAGAAAGCTAAACAATCAGTGGGACTGAGAATGACAAAAGATGCCTCCCCAGGAGCAGTTATTGTGAGCTTTAGCCCCACAGTAATACATATTGGTACCAAAATATGTGATTTTAGTCAAGAATTGAAAATACCAGTTGCCCAGTCACCTTTCCTGGAGACGGTGGGAGCCTAGACTATTTCTGTAGAATTTCTCATTTTACAAAAGACTGTAGTTTATACTGTTGGGAAGAAAACCTTCCAAATATCAACTAAATGTAAACTAACGCAACACCTTCCAGAGTCTGCTGACAGCTCTAGTGCCTCTGCTACTCACAACTTTGCCAAGCAGCAGCTCAGCAAGGTTAAGACTTCAGATTCATGGCTACTACAGTCTTGCGAGCACCAGTGAAATGGGGGCGGGGGGGGGAGAGAGAGAACACATCAACTTCATGATGCCCACAGCTGTTTCAAAGAGCTGAGCTGCAGCAAAAGTAGGCACTATAGTTCTTAATGGGGAGGACACCCCAAAAACAGTCTGGGGGGAAGGAGCAGCAGGGTAAGAGATGAAAAGAGAAAGCGTGCTCGCTCCCTCTCCCTACAACAGCTAGAAGTGGGATGAAACTTCATATTTATAAAAAATTGCTAGCCCGAAGCTGATACAAAGAATGGAGTCCTGAAACAGATTCCATAAACAGCACCCAGCTAGAAACCACAGAACTCTTCCAGCAGGTGAGATGGCAGGGCGGCTGGGCTTCTCAGTGCAGATACAGAAATGTAAAGTCATTATATAAAATAGGAAACCACATACCAATGTCCTAACTGCTTAGTTGCAAAGTTGCAGTAATGTAAGTGGAAGATTTTAGCTAGAATGGTAGAGACCTGCTCTGCTCTACTCTAACACTAGATTAGTACTTATGAGGTGTGGTGCCAGCCCACAAAGTGGTATGGCAGCACAGCGGACAGCAAGTGCAAAGAGACACTCCGACATGCCCAGTGCTTATTTCAGTCATCAGTACAGGTCTTGCTCCCACCTCAGTCAAAGTACTGGCAGCTGCTGCAACAAGGGTCAGCTTGCTCAGAGGAAGTAGGACTGGCTGTAGAGAACTTCTGACGTATTTGAAACAAATGGGCTTACTTGTCCATTGTGTCACCACGAAGGAGAACCCCTGCATTTGGGACAGCAACAATACCAATTTGGTGTATTTCTAAAGCTAAGAACCTAGATGTCAAGATGGTGCCTATATACTACAATGATGGAGGCTATATAAATATAGCAGAGGGAAGGGGATATTCTCAGCCTTTGTGGTTACAAATTGAGTGGAAGAGAAGGGTAAACCCCTTTGCTTTTCTGCAATTCTGGCAGTTCAAAGGACCACCATGCTTAAACATTCCTTTGACGATTAGCTGCTCACCAGGTTCAATGGTTTCTGTACTCATGTTTTCTACATCTCCAGCATCAGGCATTTCTTGATCTTCATCATCATCATCATCCTCCTCCTCATCCTCCTCCTCACCATGTAGTTCTTTTGCAATTAGCTGCCTAGCCAATTTGATATTTCGTCCTTCGTTATAATGCATTTTTCTCTTCATTTCAAACTGTTTCTTTTTTTCTGTGGAAAGAGCAGGAAAAGATTCTTAGATATATTCTTACACTAGTTCTTTGAAAACATTCCAACATATCACTGTTTGCCAGGTAGGAGTTACCTCTCCCAGAGTGTATGTAATCTTTATGTCGTTTAAGTTATTGTATGTTTCGAATATAAAATGTTTTCTTTAAGTAATTAGTTTAAAATACTCTATGGAAGGATTCTGTGTTAGCAAACTATAGCTTAGTGCTCTTAATTATTAGTCAAACTAACAATTAGCAAGATGGCCATACAAATTTTGCCAAGTGAAAATATGTCATCTCAGTAGAGTGGGGCACAACTTACTCCTCGCATGTCCTTACTAGGGGATTAACTCTGTTTTGGGGAGATTTAGAGATACAGCCCCAGGAAATATGGGAAGAACAACAATTTAAGAATTAGATTTGTTGCCACTTAATTACCCATAAACAGTTATGGAGGTGACACTAAGAAAAA